ACGCAGGGCTTCAAAACAAGATAATAGTAAATCAATAATGGCTACCATAATATATTTTGCTATCTTTGAAATAGCTGCCTATGCTATCATATATAATGAAACCAAACAAAACAGAACAATGAAAACAATACAGAGTATCAAAACAAAATAATAGATTAACAATGACCACTGTCTTCCCTTTTTAGACATTTCACTTTCACAATATCTATTGTGTATTTTGGATCCCATTAACTCCTTTAGTTTTCTATACTAGGGAGACAACACAATGTTCACCCATGTGACTGAACCATTTCACCCATGAGCATGATCTCAAATTGTATCCATTTACCTTTATAGCTGAGTAGTCTATGGTATAAAAATGCCATATGGTATAAAATGCAAGCTACCCCTGCTTTTTTCTGGTTCCCTGTCACATTGTTTTCTCTCCTTTGACTTTCAGTTTATGAATTTCCTTTCAAGTTAAAAGTATTTCTTGTATAAGGTATATTGATGGATCCTGTCTCCTGATCCACTCTGCCTGTACTTCTTTTTATTGGTGAATTGAGGCCATCTATATTAGTGGTTATGGCCAATATGCACTGGCTCATCTCTACCTTGCTATCTTCCTGCTATTGGCTCCCTGTTTTTCTCCTCCATTCAGTTGCTTGCCCCATTTGGTGATCCCTTTCTGCCACTGTTACTGGAACCATGGTATTTTTCTCTCTCTCTAGAATGTCATTTAGTATTCTTTGTAGGGTTGGTTAGGTGGTCATGAATTTCATCAATTGTTCTTTGTCATGGAAGTATCTTGTTTCTCCACTAATTTTGAAAGATAGTTTTGCTTGGTACATCAATCTGGGCTGGAAGGTGTTTTCTTTGAGGACTTGAAATACTTTACTCCAACCTCTTCTTGACTTGATGATTTGTGTTGGGAAGTCTGTTGGTATTCTGATGTTGGGATATTCCTTTATAGGTGATCTGTTTCTTTTCTCTAACAGCCTTGAATATTCTATTCTTGTGCTGAATTTCTGGGATCTTGATTATTATATGTCTAGGTATGCTTTATTTTGGTTATGGCTAACTGGGTTCTATATGCCTCACTTATCTGCATGTCAGGTTCTTTTCCCAGCTGGGAAGCTGTCTGCTATTACATCCGTAAATAGACTTTTTATGTAATTTGTGTTGACCCCTGCTTTTTCACTGACACTTAACACTCTTAAATTATTTTTCTTTACGTCGTCTTTACAGCCCTTGACTTGTTTCTTGGTTCCTTGATAATTTTTAAGAGATCTTTCCTTTCATGATTGCTAGCTGCAAGGTTTGAAAGTCTATCTTCAGTTTCTTTCAAGCAGTTTTTCCAGCTTTCAAGGGAGTTTTTAATTTCCTGGATATCTCTTTGAATTTGTTTTATGCATTCTAAGTCTTTCTTGTATTGTTCATTCAACATTTCCCTCATTTTCTGTGCTCCTCTATTTTTTTAACTGTCTTCTTTAGAGATGCTTAGCAATTCTTTTGTTATGTTGTTCATTTCTTCCTTTACCTGAGGTAGTATTTCTGTTCTAATTTCTTTTATAGCCTCATGAAGTTGTTTCTTTACTACAGTTGCCATCACTTCAGAAACTTTAGGTGTGCCTATCCTGATCTCTTCCACATTTACATCTCCTGGACTTGTTCTGCCTGGGTTGGAAGCCAGAGACTGCCATTTGCTTCATCATCTTGACATTTTCCTGGGTTCTTCCAGACAAGCGGGTAGTGGGGTCCCAGGCACTTCTTACATTGGCTACAATTTCTCCAAAGCATAACTGTTTGGTTCTCCTGGCCAGTGCTGGCTACCAGGTGTCTGATGGTGGCCATTGGGTGCGCTGGTATGGTACTGGCTGCTGCTTTTCCCAGCCCACGCTGGCTACCAGTAGGAAGCATCCCAGATGGTAGCTGGTATGCATGCAGGGACAGGGCTGGCCAGACTGAGCTGGTTGCATGTGGGAAGCAACCCTGATGGCAGTTTTTGGCTGTTTCAGTCCATAATCAGCTGGTTCCAAGGCAGGATGGCATGGCACAGGGCAATACTTTAAGACAGCAGCCAGCTTTTTAAGATAACAAGAGGCATTACGTTAACCATTGTTGATCACCTTGTATTTTGTTTTTACATTATGCATTATGTTCATCCTTTTCATTTGAGTGACTGTCCTGGTATGTCACATTTGGTTTTACTTTCTTCAAAAAAAAAAAAAAAAAAGTAATAAGAACTGTGGGAGTAATAAAACCCAAAATGTGTAATTGTCATTGTACAAAAGAAAGGAAAAGAAAGTTCTTTAAAAGATATAACTGCATATATATTTAAGTGTATAAGATAGATAACCATATTACTGAGTTTTGTTAGATCATTGAACAAAACTGTTTGCAATCTCACTGTTTGAAAGTCCTCTCTATATGCTTTAATTTTGTAACTTCAACAACTATTTCTAAGAGGACAATATGTAATTAACTAGTGATTTCCTACTGTTTATTTTTTCTGAAATTCTGTATAACTTGTACCCTTTTTCTGGTTTTTTTCTCCTTAAATAAAATTTTAAAAAAAGAGACATAAAGATTATCATGAAAAAAAAAAAAAAGCTGTCAGCAAAAGCAGCCAAGAAGAAAAGGCCACATTTACCTTTTAAAAAGAAGCTGCCCATCATAATAACTTGTTTAGGCAAGAATTGTTTATATATTAAAACTAGTAGAAGAAAATTGGAAGAATAGAAGATAGATAATTTCTAAATATCATTTCACATAACATTTATCACATTGGGGAAAACAATAAGTGGCAAAAACCCTACAGATCTCATCCTAATCAATTAATCAAAGCTAGCACCATAGTAACAGGACAAATCAACATCATGACCTGATGTGCATTGAGAAACATCATCAGTTTCTTCCAAACACATAACCAAATTTAATCATAAGGAAATAGCAGGTAAGCCAGGCATTGTGTCTTATACCTGTTTTCCAAGCACTTAGAGATTAAGGGAAGAGGATTGCAAGTTCAAGCACAAGCTGGACAACTAGGCAAGGCTCTGTCTCAAATGTAAAAAAAAATTTTTAAGACATTTTTTGAAGTCATATAGTTGAATGCAGAGACTCTGGGCTCAGTCTTTTATACCACCCACAAAAAGTAGTAAACTCAAGGCTGAAAAGCAATATACAAGATCAGTGCTTTACATTCTCCAGAACTGTAAAAGACACAGGAAAGACATAAAAATTAAAGGAGATTAAATACATATGATGTTTGTTTGCAGTGCATGACCCTTGGATACTTTTTCTAGTAAAGGATGTCACTGAGACAATTGGCTGAATATAAGTAAGATCTATAAATTACATTGTCATATTTTTCCAATATCAATTTTGATTTTTATATAGCAGTATAACAGTTATATAAAAAATTTCCTTTTAAAAGTATATACAATGAAGTACTTAGGGGTAAAGGAACATCACAACTTACTGCCGAAAGAGTCTTAAAAATCACATCTAATCTAGGTATGTTGTCACACATCTGTAATCCCAGTACTCAGAAGGCTGAAGCAGGAGGATTGTTGTGAGCTCAAGGCTAACCTGAATTGCATAGCAAGACTCTGTCTCAAAAAAACAACAGCAAGAAAAAAATCACACCTAGAACATAGATGTTCATAGCAGTATTTCTCATAGTAGGTAAAAAAGGTTAAAATTTTTAGCCAAGTGTCCATGGAGGGTTGAATGAATGAGCAAAATATGGCATAGACATATATGTTAGTTATCCTCGAAAAATGGACATTCTGTCAAATGCTACACTGTAAAGAAACTCTGAAGACATTCATGTTAGCTGAAACAAATCAGTCATAAAGGGACAAATATGGTATGAGTCTACTTGTAAAAGGTACCTAGAATATGGTAGGCAAATATAAAGAGACTGAAAAGTAAATGGTGGTTGCCACAGTAACCAGAAGTCCTCCTGGACTCTGTACAGTTTTCCCCCTTAACCTTTGCCTCTTACCCCTCCCTGGATAAATTAGGATTTCTCCCTTCCTAGATCTTGTGATAGCGTCTTTTGCCCTTATGTCACAGTGTGTCAAAATAAATAGCTTACCTATTGCTTCCATATAATGAGTGCCTCGAAAGCAGAAGCTGGTCGTTTATGAATCCCTGATACCTTTCATAGATGTTAATAGGGGTGCAGAAAAGTTTGAATGAATTACTAAACGCCTACACTACCTTTGTTTGTAACATTTTGTACTTTCTTCTTTCTTTCCAAGGCACCAAAGTTCAGTATTCTTGTACTTGGTCTTCCTACTTCTATCCCATAGTTCTTTGTACCACGTGTATAATAATGCCAGATTACTAGAATTCCATACTTTGGAATACCTGTCTGGAAACTTTCATTATCTTCCTGTTCCTTAAAGAACAAAGTCCAAACTCAGCAGTAAGGACTTGAGGCCTGTCTCATTCTGCTCCCAGACTATACCGTGTTCCTATCATACTCTGTTTACCTACCGGCATAACTTCAGCACTCAGCTTTTGCAAGACAGTGAAAGAAGGAAGTCTACTAAATAAGATCTGTGCTCATTATCTTTGTGTTTACTTTTGATCTCGTTTTCTGTTATTCATCCTATGAGAAAGGGAAATAATCTTAGAGAACATTCAGCCATATTCATATTTAAGTGAGAAGTTCTATTTTAGGGCAAAACATGAGTAATATAATAAAGCTTAGGATAGGTGGCCACCAGCACAATGTCTGCCTCATAGAAAAAGTTCAATAAGCATTGAAACTGAATTAACTTTGTTGGAATTTTGAAGGTGGAAATTTCAGTTTAGGACTAAAAAAAGAAAACTATTTACAGTTTTAAACCTTTGGAAACTTGCCTCTCCTTGCTTCACAGTAATTTGATTTAACTCTGAACTTTTTTTTTGCTATTATCATTTGTTGTGTTGCTTTGAAACCCAAAGTCAAAACAAATTGGAGACGATTAGATTACATGTTTTCAACACTTTGTATACTCTCTTTCTAGGTTATATGTAAAGTCAGATGTGCCACTGAACTTGACAAACACAAGTAAGTTTCACGAGTACCTAAATTTCTGCCTAAAAGATCTAAAGGATTAACTCATTAATATTAATGATTAGTATCTAAAAGCTGTAGGGAGTTTTAACAGTGCACTGCTCATGATGAACGAAAGGGGTTGTTGCCAGGCATGGTGGTACATGTCTGTAATCCCAGCACTTGGGGAACTGAGGCAGGACTGCCGTGAGTTCTAGGCCAGCCTAGGCTACCTAGTGAGTTCAAGGCCAGCCTGCAATACAGAGCAAGACCCTATCTCAAAAAAAGAAAACAAACAAACAAATAAAAAAGATTTTTGGTTGTAAAATAAATTTCTGGATCATATGTGCTTAATTTGGGGATATAAAAGGCTTTAATGAGTTGCTTCCATACAGAAAGTGGTTATTGATAGTTGATATGGATAGCCACACTTAACTGAATCTTTTTTTGTTTAATTAAGTGGTCTAATTTTTCTTACAGGGACAGGATTAAGTGAGTTGTTTTGTATTCATAGTAAATGTGCATCTTTATGAAAAGATGAAGTATTGATCCGTGCTTCAAACTGTATATATCCTGTCCTTATGTTCTCCTTAATCAAATTTTTCCTTCATAAAGTTTACTATAATCAGGAGTTCATGGGATTGAATATTATTTAAAACAATTTTCCTTACCTCTTAAAATTACTATTAGATGATAAGTTTATATTTAGAAAATGAATACAGCATGTTCCTTTTCTAGGCGAATTTTAAAGTCTGGTAATTATCAGAATGAAAAAGTCAGTGAAAAATATACTTAGTGGTTATAAAGATGAAAACTCAGGGCTAGGGATTTAGCTCAGTGGCTTAAGCACCTGCCTTGCAAGCAGGCAGTCATGAGTTCAATCCCTGGTACCGATAAAAAAAAAAAAAAGATGAAAATTCCAAGATTGCTTGAAATAGTGTTAAGCAGTCCTATATTATCTTCCTGGTAGAGATAAGTAAATTCCAATCCACAAGAGATCATTTCTTAATTAATGCTTTAAAATCTATACCCTTTTAAAATGGATTAGATACTAAATTCATAGCAGCACAAATATTGCAAGTAACTAAGAGATCACTAACTTTGTGTTTAACTAAATTATAAACGTTTTAAACTGAAGAAATTCTTATGCCTAAAATGATAATTAACTCCTAAATCATTTTATTACATCTAACAAACTCCTTTTTTCTTCCAGAATTCTTCTGCATTTGGGCTTTATACTGGCAAGCCTTCTCTTTTTAGTGGTGAACTTGACTTGTGCAATGTTAGTCCACGGAGGCGTTCCAGAAAATCAGTTGAAATGGACTGTGTTCATTCGAGCATTAATTAATGACAGCTTATTTATTCTTTGTGCCATCTCTTTAGTTAGTTATATATGCAAAATTACAAAGATGTCATCAGCAAATGTCTACCTCGAATCAAAGGTAAGTGCATTTCTTAACTTTGCACTTGAAAATCTTAATTTCACATTCTTATCCTGGGTACCATATTTTAATGGAAAGTTATGGATTTGGTGGTTGTTGTTATAGTTTTTGTTTTGAGACAGGGTGTCTGACTGTGCAGTTCAGGCTGGCCTCGAACTTGAGGGTGCTCAGCCTCATGAGTGCTGGGATTACAGGCATGCGCCACCACACCCGGCTTATGTTGCTTTTCAACAAAAGTATTCTGAATAACAGCCACATTTCAGAGCATGAAATAATAGCCACTAGCAATTAAAGGCTTTTAAAATTTTGATCCTTAGTAAACAGTGATTTAAAAAAGAAGCTTTGCTACATGTATTTTCTGTGATGATGCATTAGAGGCTAGTCAGGTGGCATAAACCAGGATATGTATGAATGGGCCAACAGTAGTCTCACATATAAAACTGCAATAACAATTTAAGATTTTATTTGGTAAGAGTGGCAGTATATTGCTATTAAACAAATTTACCAAATTATGTCTATGTACACTTGGCTTAGCAATGTAAAGAAATCATACAGGTAAAGGGTATTTATTTGTATGAAGGTTTAGAAAATGTTACATTGACCTATAATGTGAAGTACATGTTATGATCAAACAGCTACTCCTACCTTGTTTCTCTTTTTCTTTACATTTTGGAAAAAAGTCAAGTGTGAATTCATGGTTAAGGAAGAACCGTGTTAGTTCTGCTGTAGAGTGACCAAGAAGCTGAGCGTTGAGTTGGTCACCGCAGGGGACTGTGGTTTTGAGTGGGACAGCACAGCTACATGGGGGTGGGGTGGGTGTACCCAGGAACACATTTTCTGCAGTTCCTTGCCCAGAAAAACATTCTTAAATTCTCTATCATTGCTTATTCACTAAAGATAAGCAAGGTAATATTTTAAACAGAACCATTCCTTGAAATATTTTTAGACTTCTCTGTTACCCTTAACGTAGTCCCAGTACAGTGCTGTCATTAAATATATGGTATCAACCTGTCCTTTAAATTTAGGCAAGGGTTTTCATTTTACTTTTTAAACATCTTTCAGTGAAATGCTAAATATATAACAAGAGATAGAGAGGGGAAGAAAGTAAAACTTTCAAGCCCATTAGTCATACCTAAAATATTATTTTATTCCACTTCTAAAGATTTTTTAAAATTTAAATATCTTAGTAAAAATACTACTGTCCCTGTTACTTTTGGACATTTCTACCAGCTTAAATATGATTCTTTTACTACTTATAACTTGTACCTCTCTATAGCTCTCTCATCTTGTCATTCTCATCATCTTTAATTCCTGTCATTCATTCAGACTCACATTTGTAGGATTCTAATGTCCACTTCTTCATTTAAAGACTATCTTCTAATGGGGCTGGGGATTTAGCTCAATGGCATAAGCGCCTGCCTTGCAAGCAGGCAGTCGTGAGTTCGATTCCTGGTACCAATAAAAATGAAAAAGACAAAAAAAAAATAAAGACTATCTTCTCTCAGTTTTTCTCCACTGAGTAATTTGGTAGGAAAAAGAACAAATTGAGTGTAACTATCAATATCTATTATATACCAGGAGGTTGCTTTCGTCACATCATCTCCTGATGAGGTGATTTGTGATACTGTGATTCAATGAGACGTGTATATTTCATCCCTGCCCCTGGTTCCTGGCTCACAATTCCTTAAAAGCCATAGAACCTTTGCAGTAATTAGGGTATCTTTTCCAAGATGGCAGGTAGTAGGGGTCCCTAGAGAGCTTCTCAATAGGCACTGGTCACAAGAAAGACCTCAGCTTTCAGGCAGGGTGGTGCTCACCTGTAATCCCAGGAGGCTGAGACAGCAAGATCACTGCAAGTTCAAGATTAGCCTGGGCTACATAGTGAGTTCAAGACCAGCCTGAACTACAAAGTAAGATTTTATCTCAAAAAAGAAAAGCATGATTAGACTCAGCCCTAACCCACTATCAATTTATAAGAACAGGTTTTGTTTTCTTCCACAGTTTTAGAGATTTTGGCCCATAACTATTTCACCCTATTGTTTGGGCCTGTTTTGAGGCAGAAGTGTGTGGTAGAGCAAACACACTTGATCATGACCGTTATGGTTTGTCTGGATGTACCCCCCCAAAGCCTCATGCAGTCATGGAGATGGCTTCTAGAGTTTGTGAATGACTCATGGTCCAATGCTGGGACTATGGATGTGAGTGCTACACCCAAGTGGACGTGGCCTACATACCATAATAGGGACAAAAAGAGTCTTCTCTCCATGCTCCTCCCCTTTTGCGCTTGTTGCCTGTGCTTTTTTTCAATTGCCATGAACTGTTGCGCTGTGACATTCTGCCTTGGAGCCAGCTGATCATGGACTGAAACCTCCACAAACTGTGAGCTAAATAAACTTTTACTTCCCTAACTTTGGTGTCTGGTATTTTGTCCCAGCAACAAGAGAAAGTAACCAAGACCATAGCCAAGGAAGCAAGAAATGAAATGAAAAAAGTAGAAAAATAAAAGGCAAGAGTCCCCTAATCTCCTTTTAGAACATATTCCCAATAAACTAAAGTCCTTTGACAAGGCCTCACCTCCCAGTGTTTCACCATCTCTCAGTACAACCACCCTGGTTACCTAGCCTTTGACATAGGGATTTAAGATTGTGTGTAGCATATATGTATGTAGTGAGACCTCAGTAAAACCCCAGACCAGGTGTGGGGAGCACCCAGACCCCAGACCACCAGACTGTAGAGGGTGAGAGGGAGGCATAGAGCATAGGAGTTCCACAGCCTTTCCCCACACCTGCCCAGCACAATTCTCCACTGAAGTGCTTCTCTGCATCCTTGGTAAATATCCTTTAGAGTAAAGTGGTGGATGTGTGCCCCTGAGTTTTGAAACTGACTATAGCAAGTTAATCTAACCCAAGAAGGGGACCCCTGGAACCCCAGATCTACAGCCCATTGGGCAGAATTCTATGGGACAACCTGTGCTTTTGGCACCTGGAGAGCAGGGTAGGCTCATGGGACCTGATGCTGTCTCTAAGGCAGGTCATGTCAGAACTAAAACAAATTATAAATTATAGGGCTTTCATTAAACATCCTCTGGAGAATTGCATGTATTTGGGGAGTTATACGAGCACATTTTGGTATAAGAAGGATTGCTTTTCACGTCAGAAGATCTTGTTATTGAACATGAGAGAAAAAGGGAGACAGAGACGGATAGAGATAGACAGAGAAAGACCGACTTTTCTTAACCACTCAAAGTTCTTTCCTATACTGATTACTATTTTATCACTCTTTTTATTATGTTCATAGCCAAAATTATTGTCCATTTGTTTGTATATATTTTCTGGGTTTTTTTTAACCACAAGTATAAGTTCTTGTCTCTTGTTAATTTTTCCAGCTTTTTGTTTAAAATAATGCCTGGCATATAGTAGATGTTTTTTCTTTTTTAGGGGAGGGGTCTTTTTTCTTTCTTTTTTTCCCTAGTACTGGAGATTGAATCTAGGTAGCCATATTGAATTACACTCCAAACCCTTTTTTGTTTGTTTCTTTTGATAAAGAGTCTAGCTTAGTTGGCCAGGCTGGCCTTGAACTTGTGAGCCTTCTGCCTCAGCTCCTGAGTAGCTGGGATTACAGGCATGTACTATACCATTCTCAGCTTTAAGGAATAGAATTTTTTTAGTAAATATATTCCATGCTTGCATATAGGCTGTGATAGAGGATCTTTAATCTAGTAACTAGGAAGTTCAAATGGTCACTCTAAAAGTTTGATAACCAAATCTTTAAAAAAACTGAAAGAAAAAACAGATACTCCTACCACTAGCTCAACCAGATTCCCAAAGCAGAGAGAGCCAGGAGACTGACTAGTTAGAATATTTCTTAACTGTTTGCCTGCTTGTCAGGTCTTAAGCTGTCCCTGCAGCTTTTGAAGGAGCAACACAGTTTTAGAATCTTGCCTCTCTGCCAATACCAGAGGGGCTAAGGGAATTTCTCTCTCCCCATCTGAAGATTTGAGTCTTTAAGTTTGCTAAAAAAAAACCAGAGACTGGTTTTCCGCTCACCATTTCAAAGCACCACACTTTGGGATAGCATTTTTTTTTAAATTTTATTTTGAAGGTAGTAAAAGTACAACAGAATAGGACAGAACAAAGCCAATCGAGATAATGCAGTGAAATTGGTACAGAACTTCACAGCAGGATACTGGGATGGTAGTAATAGGTACTGTAGTATATTTCGTTATCTTCACAATAGTTTTCCAGTCAATTAGGTATAGCAAAATCAAACCAAAAGCAAAACATTATAAAACCAACTGAAAGAGAATATTGAATAGAGCAAAACAATCATAACAAAACAAAACAGTGGAAACAACCTTTGCCTTCAAACAGAAGATAGAAGGAAATCCCCCATATTTGCTATATTGCATATGTTCACCCTCCCAAGAGGTGTGGAGACATCTATCCCCATGGGATAGCATTTTCTGAGCCCCAACATTACCAAACGAACTTTCACAACTGAAATGTGTCAGAGCAAAGTGAACCAATAAACATGCTCAAGGTCACATAGTTGGACCAGAGTTCAATTTCAGGTCTCTTACTAGTAATCCCAGTTCTTTTTAATCCTGCATTCCATTTGTATATTGCTTAATATTATGTATTCCATTTATATGACCCTGTGCTTATATGCTTTTAGATTTATAAAGACTCTTAATTTATGTCTTAGTGTGTCTGTGTGAATGTGTGCACACATATTTGGGTGTCTGCTGAGGATCAAACCCAGGGCCTTGTGTTGTATCACTGAGTTATGCCCCAGCCCTATTTGTATGTTATTAAAGGCATTATTCCACATACATTCTTACTAGATTTTTGGTTTTGGTGGTCCTGGGGATTAAGTGCAGGGCCTCACATATGCTAGGCAAGTGCTCTACCACTGAACTACAGCCCCACTGACACTACACTCTAGAAGAGTAAACCATTTTAGGGGTTGGGGATTTAGTTCAGTGGCACAAGTGCCTGCCTGGCAAGTAAGAGATCATGAGTTCAATCTCTGGTTCAAAAAAAAAAGTAAACCATTTTATGTGCTGTCATCAGTAACTTGCTTCTTCTGCTCCAATGGTATTTGTATTCAAGTTTTATTTATTTTGGTTACTTTCACTGATAAGCCTTTAAAATTTTGAATTTAGGTTTATTTAAATGATAGGTATATATAATGCCATGTAGAGATTTACTGTCCACATTTCTGTATGTGTAAACTATTTCTTAGTTTAGGCCGAATCTAGTCATTTAATCTTTCTTTGGAGTATGTTTTTTCTTCACACTAAAACGTTGCTTTTATTAAGAATAATAGCTTTTTGTTTGGTTAAGAAGAGATCCTTTCTAAATCCTTTTCAGTAACTATTCATATTGCTACAATACTGTTTTTTCTAATCCACGAACAAACTATTTGACTAGATTTTCGTTATGTTCCTTGAATTTTCAAAAGAATCATTTTGATGTTATTTTTATATTTTAACTTAGCATATTATTTAAACTTTTATTAAATTTAGACTTAAATTATGACTTTTTTCTCTTTTTTGTTGTCCTTGGCAGGTTTTAGAAAATAAGCACATTTATCTCATGAACTGAGATGGGTAACACACCCTATACAATACAAAGTAGTGATAATTTAAACTCTAGAATCTTAATGCCTCTGTTTAATCTAAATTCTGCCATTTACTCTCACCTTAGCTTTCCTGTCCACATTTAAACTAGAGGTAAGTATAGTAACAATGTGCTCAACGGTGTTACTAAGATAAAATGGTAATATATAGGAAGTCATACGATACTACTGGCACTTCAATAATATAAATGTTAACTGCTACTGTTTTATCATCCTATTTTGGCACAGTTTATAGAATAGAATTATTCTCACAAGACTTGAACAAATCCTTCTACTTGGCAGAAGATTGGTTTTTGGTTAATTTTTTGTTTCCTTTCATTCTTTCTTATTTCCCTATCCATTAATTTATTTTATTTCCACCAGACCTGGTGTTTTTTTTAGTTTAATAGACTGAATCATATTGTCATTCTTATTAAAATTTTTGTCTGTAATATAAAAGAATATGTCAACATAAAAGAATGTGATTTTAAAATTTAAACAGCAGTAATGTTTACTGACACATATCTCATACAGTATTTAGAATTCAATGTAAATATAACTTTATATCTTGCTTTCCCCTTTATACTGGTAAAGAATTTTCTCATGATAACAAAGGTTGCATAATATTTCATCCTATGTGAACATTTAATTCTTCTCTACTGATAGTCCTATAAATGGTTTTAATCCTCCATGATGTTAATTTTCTTCCAAATTAATTTTGATTTACTTTTTAAAAAAACCTGAGACAAGTGTTTTAGCAATTACATCTGAAACTATCTTCCTCAGTCAGTTTATGGAACACTGGAGTATCCTTTATGTTATTACTTATTTATTAATTTGTATATATTCTTTAACCAACTAGAGCTAGTATAATTAGATTCTTTTTCAAAGTAGCACTTTTACTTGCTTTTAAATACTGTTTATTCCCAATTTGAGTATTTATTTGTGTTTCTGTTTCTCTTTCTTACATATTTAAAGTTGTTATGTTCCACATTTTTGTGTTTATAGAGATACTTAATTCATTCTTTTGTAAATTGATATAGGTATTCAGAGCAATATGTTTGCCAAAGTACTGTTTGGCAGCTTTCCATTTTGCTTAAAGTATTATAGCAACATCCCTTATTTAACAAACACAAAGAAAATTTATGTTTGGATTTCAGCCATGTCTCAAATATTGCATACATAAACATCAGTGTGCATTAAATATTACCTCTCTCTATAGATTTTCCTTCTGCTCATCTTGGAAGGAAATCTAAAATTCAAACATTTGTCTTCTTTGGGCTCCCTTTAGTCTACAAAACATTAATTCAGTTTCAGCCTCTGCTTGATTGTCCAAGAACTGAATCTGGTCTACTAAATAATGTAGAATTTCTGAACACTAGGTGTTTGCCAGAGAAAATAAACTCTCACAACTTAATAAACTCACAAGGTGATTGCCCAGGAGTTGACCTGAAAGACTCACAGGCTGTCTATTTCTCTGCCTGTTCTAAGTTTATGCTCAGCCCAATCCACATCACTGCAGATTTTTGTACAAAGACTGCATTGCACCCTTCATGGAATTGTCTTCTGCAGCTTACATTTTATATCTGCACTGGTTTGCATCAAGGTATATATAGAAAATGTCTTATAAGAAAGGATTGCTCTAAGATCAATATTGTATAATGTTGAGGATATTGCCTACATAGTATCTCTAGAAAACGTCTTTTTTCTCAGATCCAGTACCAGGAAAAATAGTGTCAATTAAATCCTTTTTTCCCTCTTGCTACTATAACATGCCTCACGTCTATCACTTGTAAATGACCTTACAGTATCTATTTTTATTCTGATACTACCTCATTTCATCTTTCTCGTCCCCTCCCATACACACACCCATTCATATACTTTCATATCCATAAAATCTTTTTGTGTGTGTCTCTAACCATTTCAAATTCTTGTTTGCAACAAGAATAGTATTTAAAATGGGATTGGATATACTTTTAAATTGTCTATTATTTCTTTTGGAGGTAATTGATTTTTGAAATTAATGCGCAAAGACCTTAATGACAGACAGTTTTCATAGGGATTAAAAAATGGAAACCTAAAACCAGAGCTAGGTGGATATAAATCCAAGTTCTGCTGTTTATTGGTTTTCTTACTTTTTTCATTACTGGAACAAAATACCCAATTCCCAAAGTTAAGAGAGAAAAGGTTTATTTAGCTCACAGTTTGTAGAGGTTTCAGGCCATAATCAGCTGGCTCCCAGGCAAGGTGGCACCTGGCAGAGGGGCAACAGTTCATGGCCATGAAAGACAGCAAGAGCAACAAGAGAGTGTGAGGCAAGCCTTTCTGTGTCCCTTACATTGTACTCAGTCTACTAGGATTAGGACAGTGCCAATCCAATCAATGAACTGATCCAGAAGTCATCCACTCTTAATCCCAGCATTAATTACAAATTGAATTTACAGATTAATTATAAATGCATCACACTCTATAGAGTTAGCCATTTCTGAAAAAAACCTGTACTACCTGAGGCTTTGGGGAGACATCTCAACACAAACCATAACACTGGCTGAATGACTTTAGACAAGTAATAGCATCTCTTCAGTTCCTTTTCCTGATCTGTATAACAAAGACAATGATAATGTTGATCTCCTGGGTTGTTATGAGGATAAGGGAAGTATCTGTCTTATAAGATTGTTACAAGGATTAAATGAAAATGCATGTAGAGTGCTTGGTATAATGCCTAGCACTTGGGAAGTGTGTATGAATCTTAGCTATTATAGTCCTAAGGATGGTAACCTAGCTTCAAAAAGTTCTTGAATACCTCGAAAATGTTGACAAAATTTTTATAAAGATTAAAGTCTCTTGATTATATTTCATCTAATATTGACTTCTTAGAAATTTTTGGGACAAATAGGGTTGACATTGTGAGATGGCCTGTTTGTTTTCAGCTTTGTGTCTCTGTCTCTCTCAGGAGATTAGAGGCCTCAAGAGGACAAGAAATCTTTGCTCAGAAATGTAAAATGATGGAAGGCTTCAAAAACCTTGCATATCATCTTTGCAAGAGACAATGCTAATCTTCTCTTTATTTACCAGTTTAAATGTATGTGCTACCGAAGCTTACACTGAAGTAATCTTTTTAATTGTGGGCATTTTTGTTTCTAAGTCTACTGTACCTTTTATCACAGTTTCAGTCTTGGATTTGCATTGACATGGGAAGCTTAATGCTGTTTTTTACGTTTGGTCTATCAATACCATTCCAAGTGTGTCTGATTAACTTAGACAAAATTTTGTGGAGTTTATTTTGCAGTTGCTAATGGGTATCACCATTTCTAGAGTAGCTCAAACACACTTTTGTTTGCAGTTGCTAGTAAACACCCCCATTTCTAGGGTAGCTCAAACATTTATTGACATAATTGTTAGTGTTGACTTTTTTCTCTCATTAAGTCTTTTATTGCTGCTTGTCTTCATCTATGTGATCTCTAAGGTACATTTGAATCTATTTACTTTTACCAGAATTATAACTTTCAACATGAGATGCATGCTGATAGAACTATTTTTGTTTTAATGTTACTTTTTCAGAAAAAAGAATAAAAGAATATAGAAGACATGACATTTTTAAAGGACAAAATAACTCATAAGCACAAAAAGGTTCAAACCAGTAAGAAATGTTTAGTCCTCATGATGGGTACATTAAGATTTTCTGTATTAAAAACCACTAAAGACTAGATGAGAATAAAAATCAAGCTTTTGGCCTTAAATGTTTTCCAGGAAGATGCACAATTTTATATTTGGATAAGAATGTAGAAGAAAAAAAAACATTGTCTGATTGCCAAGATCAGCTGTCTCCTAGACTAGCCTCCCATTTGCAAATAATGCACTTTCTGTCTTCCTGAATTCCTAACAGTTTTAAGTATAGTCAGCCTATGCCTTCATAGCTTCATGTTCTTTATCTGCAAATTCAACCAATCAAAGATCAAAGATATTCAGAAAGAAACTGCATATGTACTGGAAATAATACAGACTTTGGTCATTATCCCCTAAATAATATAATATAAATTCTACTTACATAGCATTTACATTATGTTAGATAGTATACAGGAGGATGTGTATGGGTTATATGTAATTACAATGCCATTTTTTCTATAAAGGACTTGAGTGTCCATAGGTTTGAATACCCAGAGATCCTGGACCAATCTCTTGTTGAATATGGAAGAAACAGACACAAATTCATGAATATAGAAGCCTATCTGCTGTGCATTCATTCAATTCCTGATCTTTGCTATTTAATATATGGGGATGGGAGGCAGCATCAATACCATTCAGACACAGTAACATCCAACCAAATGTATTTCTGATAATGTGTAGTGGCCAACAAATCCTATAGGATTAAAGTGGTGATGCAAGATACCTTAGGCCATAACTAAAGACCAAATACTGCTGTAGTGATGCTTTCTTCTGCCACCTTAAAATAGAACTAACTAGAATTTAGGGATGATAGAAAAATACAGGTTGCATTATTCCCTAAAACATGGCTGTCACTTTTCCAATATCCTGTTACAATTTCTGTCTTGTGTTACTGGGATTTACTTTATCCACCTCAACCTGTAGAATTTCTTCAGTTTGCTGCTGCAGTTACTCCAGCCATGATACTCCAAGTGTTATTTGATGCTCTCTTGCTAAGCCAATCTATCACATAGTAGTCCCATTTGAAAAATTCTTTATACTTGGAGTTACATATTGAGTCTATGCCTGAAATCATCTTCCCCTTATATTTCTAGGCTCTTTTACTGAACTATCGCACATTTTTCAGAATTGGTTTATTTTTCTATGGCCAGAAGTTCTACCCAATAAAAGCTGTCTATTCCTAGCACCAGGATGTTGAAACCAGAGATCTAATTTCAATTGTATCTTTGCAGCATTAAATTGTTTTTGAAACTTTCTAGGCCTTATAGATTATCAAAACATATTTTAAATGTATTCAGTGAGAGTATTTTGTTTCCTTTTTAATGTTGTTTACTTGGGCATTTTAATTTCAAAATGGAAATAGTATTTGTGAGATGATTTGAGAAAATATGTGAAGGATTCTGCTTCTGATAATGGCTGGGATTGCTCCTGGGTCAGCCTTTCACAAACAACAATGATAAACTCTGGGCAAAATATGAAAAGCATGAAGAAAACAAATTAAAAAATAAAATTTAAAAAAAGCACTGAAGACATTAGACAGCACCAGTTAGAAGAAAACTACACCTCTAGCTTCTTGCCTAAGGGAAAGTTCCCATCCATGGGGCAGCCAAAATGTGAAGAGAAACCCACTGTCATACTGGCTTGAAAAATCTGAGGATCAATTCTAGTAAGTCAACTACCACAGATGGAAAGTGAATGGGTAATCTCAGGAATAAGGTAGCCAAAAAAGAGGAGCCTCATATTCTGATTACAAGTTCTGCCAAAGTTTTGTGTGCTACCTGAACTACATGTGTATAAGGCAGGCTCCAAGCAGCATAAGTAAGGGTAAAGGAATTGAATTGAGATTTCAGCTGCTGTTTATGCATGGAAGGCAGAGTCTGGAATCTAAGTCCAGGCCAAATGTGTTGTTTTCTAAAACAAACAGAGACAAATACATTTTAGAGCAATATGAACAGAATCCAGACTCTTTAAAATATGGACTCTAAATCCATAGGACACTAGCAGAGTAATCAGACATATACAAGGAGAGAAAAGATACAACTCATTCAGAGCAAGAGCAAAACTTCAAAAACCAATAAATGGGGACAACTCATCCCTCAAGGGGACCTAGATATTTGGATCAGACAGGATTTTATAATATGCTAAAAAATGGAAGACACATGAGCAAATACACAAATAGTCTGAAGAGAAATAAAAACCATTTAAAAAAGCCCCCAAAGGCGGGGTTGTAGCACACTTGTATAGTATGTACAAGGCACTGGGTCCAATCCTCAGTGCCTCAAATTCCTAGAATTAAAAGTACAGTATTTGGCATAAATAACTCACTAGTCATGCTTAAAATCAAATTAGTGATGAAAGAATTGATAAAAATTATCCACTCTGAAGAACAGAGGACAGTGAAAGATTATAACCAAATGAACAGATCTTCAGCATCTAAGAATTACAATTCCTAAAGGGAAGAGGAAGAAGATAAAGCTAGAAACAAAATTGAAAAATAATGACCTAAATTTTTAATTGTGTCAAAAAGCATAAATTCTCAATTTCAAAAAGCTCAGCAGTTCTAATCAGCATAAAGAAAACTTAATGTAAGTTCATCATAATCAAATTGCTTTACACTGAAAGAGAAAATTTTAAAAGCAGTCAGAAAACAATGAGTTATAGACTTACATCTGGGAACAGTGGTTCAAGTACCTGACCTCCCATCAGGAATAACGGCAATCAGAAGACATGGAAACATCTTTAAAAGTCAACTTTGAAATGCGTACCAAGTGGCAGTATTCTTAAGAACAGCAGAGGAATAGCATTTTCAGATAAAAGGAAACAAAGTTCATTACCAGCATGATACAAAAAATGCTAAGAAAATTCTGTAGACTAAAAAAAAAAAAAGCTTGAACTCATCTCTTCAAGAAGGAATGAAAAACACAAGAAATGGTAAAGGCGTGGGTAAATAGAAATTATTAATTTCTTTAAAATACATATGACTATGCTAAGCAATTATAACACTATGAGACTTTTAGAGAAATTTACTATGTAACAACTATGGCACAAGAGGTGAAACTAAAATGTTAAGGATATATGTTATAATCTCTAAAGCAGTGGTTCTCAAACTTTTTGGTCCTAAAATCCCACTATACTTCTAAAAATTATTAAGGATCCTTAAAGAGTTTTCTATTCATCTATTGATAAAAAATTATAAAAATGTTCACTTTTTAAAATAATAAACCATTACATGTTAATGTAAGTAACTATGAAAAATAATTATGCTTTCTAAAACTAAGCAAAAAGTAGTGAAACTGGCATCGTATTATACTTTGCAAATCTCTGTAATTAATGTCTGGCTTAATAGAAGACAGCTGGATTTCCATCTCTGCTTCTGCATTAAATCTATTGTGATATGTTGTTCAGGTTGAAGTATATGAAGATAGTTCGTCTTCACAAATATATGTAATTGGTAAATAGAGAATTTTAATAGATCTTTCAGATAATTGTGGATATCTTCTTAAATCCTACCCAAAAATTCAGAAGTGGAGGTTTCTTTTTTATTTTTTTATTCTTGGTACTAGGGATCGAACTCATGACTGCGTGCTTACAAGGAGGCGCTTATGCCACTGAGCTAAATCCCTAGCAAAGTGAAGGTTTCTAAAAGGTTAGTTGCTATGTGGAATCTAAAATCATAGTAGTGAATATTTTGTACTCTCCACTACTCTTATCTTGCCCTTTGATTAATTTTGTAACGTGCTTTGATCATTTGGAAAGGAGAGGTCACAGATCTGCAAAATGTATATTCCATTAGATAAAATTTAAAAATAACATGTTAGTATCATACCGTCTCATCAGAAAAGTCAATTTGGGAAAGCTGTCAATCATGGATACAAATGTGGACAAGTTTCCCAAAATTTTAACTTCTAACTGCAGGTTCAGATTTTATCATTGGCAGTAAGTACTGCCAGATGTTTTCTTTGAAATGATCGGCTCATTTTTGTTCATTTTGTGGGGGAAAAATATGTTCAGTTGTCAGGTCTGAATAACCAATGTTTGTCTGCCATAGTTGTATGTCAAGTACCAAGTGGAGTTCTGTTTAAAAAAAATCAAACAATCAAATACTGTATTTCAGTATAAAGCAGAATTTCTTCAGAGGCATGTCTCATCTTGTCATACAGAACATTAAATAAACAACTGTCCTTACATGAAACATACTCTCTTTACCCATTAATAGTGTACTGCTTTGATTTATGGCAAGGCCCAGCAGTTTGACCTGTTTTTGTGCCATTCGTGAAAATATCAACACAATTGACGCAGGATAAACAACCAGAAAAGTCGTTCTACACTTTGAATACTTCAGTACTGCTTGTGTTTCTTTTCAGATAGTGATGTAAAAGAACATCTGCTTGAATTATTGAGATATTAATCATCCAAGCACTAACATCATAGTGAATCCT